ATCTCAATTTTATAGAATTAAAATATAACTATATTATATGTATGTTTTTTTTTAATTTTTATCAAATATAATCGTTGATTATAATAAAAAAGTTGAAATTTATGTTTTAAATATTTCGTCTACATATAAAGATGATCATTAAAATCTAACAGATACAAGAATCTCGAGAATACAGTAGGTGTCATAAAAAAATAATGACGCAAATTCAAAACTAAGAACTGATACAAAACTTTATAAAGATTTTAGTGTCCTAAAACATAACTTTAAATAATACGTTAGATTGCGAAACATATGTTAGATGTTAGGGTACCCCGTTGTTAAGAAATTTGTTGTTTTGTTAATTTGACCACTTAATCCATAATTCTTTCATATCTGGTGAAATACTTTGGGGATACATTTGGAATACATTAAGGTTTCCAAAAGTAACAAACAAACAAACAAACAAACAAACAAACAAACAAACAAACAAACAAACAAACAAACAAACAAACAAACAAACAAACAAACAAACAAACAAACAAACAAACAAACAAACAAACAAACAAACAAACAAACAAACAAACAAACAAACAAACAAACAAACAAACAAACAAACAAACAAACAAACAAACAAACAAACAAACAAACAAACAAACAAACAAACAAACAAACAAACAACTAACTAACTACTAACTAACTAACTAACTAACTAACTAACTAACTAACTAACTACTAACTAACTAACTAACTAACTAACTAACTACTAACTAACTAACTAACTAACTAACTAACTAACTAACTACTAACTAACTAACTAACTAACTAACTAACTAACTAACTAACTAACTAACTAACTAACTAACTAACTAACTAACTAACTAACTAACTAACTAACTACTAACTAACTAACTAACTAACTAACTAACTAACTAACTAACTAACTAACTACTAACTAACTAACTAACTAACTAACTAACTAACTAACTAACTAACTAACTAACTAACTAACTAACTAACTAACTAACTAACTAACTAACTAACTAACTACTAACTAACTAACTAACTAACTAACTAACTAACTAACTAACTAACTAACTAACTAACTAACTAACTAACTAACTAACTAACTAACTAACTAACTAACTAACTAACTAACTACTAACTAACTAACTAACTAACTAACTAACTAACTAACTAACTAACTAACTAACTAACTAACTAACTAACTAACTAACTAACTAACTAACTAACTAACTAACTAACTAACTAACTAACTAACTAACTAACTAACTAACTAACTAACTAACTAACTAACTAACTAACTAACTACTAACTAACTAACTAACTAACTACTAACTAACTAACTAACTAACTAACTACTAACTAACTAACTAACTAACTACTAACTAACTAACTAACTACTAACTAACTAACTAACTAACTAACTAACTAACTAACTAACTAACTAACTAACTAACTAACTAACTACTAACTACTAACTAACTACTAACTAACTAACTAACTAACTACTAACTAACTAACTAACTAACTAACTAACTAACTAACTAACTAACTAACTAACTAACTACTAACTAACTACTAACTAACTAACTAACTAACTAACTAACTAACTAACTAACTAACTAACTAACTAACTAACTAACTAACTAACTAACTAACTAACTAACTAACTACTAACTAACTAACTAACTAACTAACTAACTAACTAACTAACTAACTAACTAACTAACTAACTAACTACTAACTAACTAACTAACTAACTACTAACTAACTAACTAACTAACTAACTAACTAACTAACTAACTAACTAACTAACTAACTAACTAACTAACTAACTAACTAACTAACTAACTAACTAACTAACTAACTAACTAACTAACTAACTAACTAACTAACTAACTAACTAACTAACTAACTAACTAACTAACTAACTAACTAACTAACTAACTAACTAACTACTAACTAACTAACTAACTAACTAACTAACTAACTAACTAACTAACTAACTAACTAACTAACTAACTAACTAACTAACTAACTAACTAACTAACTAACTAACTAACTAACTAACTAACTAACTACTAACTAACTAACTAACTAACTAACTAACTAACTAACTAACTAACTAACTAACTAACTAACTACTAACTAACTACTAACTAACTAACTAACTAACTAACTAACTACTAACTAACTAACTAACTAACTAACTAACTAACTAACTAACTAACTAACTAACTAACTACTAACTAACTAACTAACTAACTAACTAACTAACTACTAACTAACTAACTAACTAACTAACTAACTACTAACTAACTACTAACTAACTAACTAACTAACTAACTAACTAACTAACTAACTAACTAACTAACTAACTAACTAACTACTAACTAACTAACTAACTAACTAACTAACTAACTAACTACTAACTAACTAACTAACTAACTAACTAACTAACTACTAACTAACTAACTAACTAACTAACTAACTAACTAACTAACTAACTAACTAACTAACTAACTAACTAACTAACTAACTAACTAACTAACTAACTAACTAACTAACTAACTAACTAACTAACTAACTAACTAACTAACTAACTAACTAACTAACTAACTAACTAACTAACTAACTAACTAACTAACTAACTAACTAACTAACTAACTAACTAACTACTACTAACTAACTAACTAACTAACTAACTAACTAACTAACTAACTAACTAACTAACTAACTAACTAACTAACTAACTAACTAACTAACTAACTAACTAACTAACTAACTAACTACTAACTAACTAACTAACTAACTAACTAACTAACTACTAACTAACTAACTAACTAACTAACTAACTAACTAACTAACTAACTAACTAACTAACTAAACTAACTAACTAACTAACTAACTAACTAACTACTAACTAACTAACTAACTAACTAACTAACTAACTAACTAACTAACTAACTAACTAACTAACTAACTAACTAACTAACTAACTAACTAACTAACTAACTAACTAACTAACTAACTAACTAACTAACTACTAACTAACTAACTAACTAACTAACTAACTAACTAACTAACTAACTAACTAACTAACTAACTAACTAACTAACTAACTAACTAACTAACTAACTAACTAACTAACTAACTAACTAACTAACTAACTAACTAACTAACTAACTACTAACTAACTAACTAACTAACTAACTAACTAACTAACTAACTAACTAACTAACTAACTAACTAACTAACTAACTAACTAACTAACTAACTAACTAACTAACTAACTAACTAACTAACTACTAACTAACTAACTAACTAACTAACTAACTAACTAACTAACTAACTAACTAACTAACTAACTAACTAACTAACTAACTAACTAACTACTAACTAACTAACTAACTAACTAACTAACTAACTAACTAACTACTAACTAACTAACTAACTAACTAACTACTAACTAACTAACTAACTAACTAACTAACTAACTAACTAACTAACTAACTAACTAACTACTAACTAACTAACTAACTAACTAACTAACTAACTAACTAACTAACTAACTAACTAACTAACTACTAACTAACTAACTAACTAACTAACTAACTAACTAACTAACTAACTAACTAACTAACTAACTAACTAACTAACTAACTAACTAACTAACTAACTAACTAACTAACTAACTAACTACTAACTAACTAACTAACTAACTAACTAACTAACTAACTAACTAACTAACTAACTACTAACTAACTAACTAACTAACTAACTAACTAACTAACTAACTAACTAACTAACTAACTAACTAACTAACTAACTAACTAACTAACTACTAACTAACTAACTAACTAACTAACTAACTAACTAACTAACTAACTAACTAACTAACTAACTAACTAACTAACTAACTAACTAACTAACTAACTAACTAACTAACTAAACTAACTACTAACTAACTACACTAACTAACTACTAACTAACTAACTACTACTAACTAACTAACTAACTAACTAACTAACTAAACTAACTAACTAACTAACTAACTAACTAACTAACTAACTAACTAACTAACTAACTAACTAACTAACTAACTAACTACTAACTACTAACTAACTAACTAACTAACTAACTAACTAACTAACTAACCAACTAACTAACTAAGGACAGAATGAATATGATACCCTACACCAGTGCTAATACATGAATTATTGATCTTCAAATCATATTTTGAAGGGGATTTTGGGGGCCGTAGGATCAAATATGGCCCAATCATGCCGAAAATCGGCAGTATAGTTTTGATTTATATAAAATTAAGTTGTACTGATTTGGTTAGGGCATTTAACATTATTATGAGCCCGAATGCAGTATTCGGTGGGTAAGGTTGGGTGCTTGGTGAAATAATGGGCCGATTTCAACCATGAAAATGGTGTCATAAGAAGAGTATGTGTTAAATTTCATAAAATTATCTTAAAAATCTGTGCTTTGATAACAAGGTTTACATGGGCATACACTGTATGCCATACAGACGGACGGACATGGTTTAATCAACACAGAAAATGATTCCAAGCCTACTAATCGGCTTGGACTTTAAGGTGGGTATATGTCCAATATTTTTGTGCATTACAAACATCATCACAAACCCAATATACTCTCAACTCAACACTAAAGTGGTGTATGCTATAAAACACAATTTATATGGCTGAAACTTCTTTAAACGTTTACTTCCTTTTTATATATATTTCTTATAAAACACTTTTGTGAACAACATTTTAGAAAGTATGTATATCCCCAAATTAATTTTAAATGACTTATTCGAATGAATATTTTTGTTTTGTTGATAAAAAAACACACATTTCTTAAAACTGAAAACAAGCCCAATTATTCCTCAAATAATAATAATTTATTAACGATTATATAAAACAAACATTATTATATTTGTTTAAATTAAATTATATTCCAAACAGTTTTATAAATAACTTCAAATTTACCTTTTAAAACAACGGCAGCAGCGGCAACAACAAGAAACGCACTAAATGAACTGTGGACGCAGAAAAAAAAGAAAGAACAAGAAATTAAAATTAAAACAAATTATACGAATTTATATTTTTGTGCAAAGTATTTAGTAGATATTTTATTTACTCATACATATTTTCTTTATGTATTTAAAAGAAATAATATTAAAAAATGTGTATATATAAAAAAACTGCTGTTTTTTATTTTTATTTTTGTTTATTTATTTTTATGCGTCAACGCGACAAGCGACCCAAGTTTTTTCGGAACGCGTTCTCCGCACAAGACTGAAATAATAAACAACAACAATAAAAACATATTGAAAACAACCCACTGTTTGAAATACATACATAAATAAATAGTATTTGTTTTTTTATTTTAATTTATTATTTTTTTGAATAAAGAAACACAACAACAACTGCAAAAAAAAATATTATACGAAATGAAATCGATTTTTAATAAAAATGTTTATAGAAATTTTATTAAGAAAAATAGCAAAGAAAATTCTATTCATTAACATTAGATAAACAAAAACACTCACACTTATACTAAACTATACACTAATACTAAATGAGGAAGTTTTCTTATACTCTACCATTAACCACCCACCCACTTCCTTTAACACTTAAACAACCCCCATATGATTTAGTTCTAGTGAATGAACTCTAAAAAATTATATTACAAAACAATTGTTTTAAACAAAAACAAGAATATAAAACAATATCGCATACAGCAACAATAACCAAAAACCCAAACAAATAATAAATATATAATTAAAATTTTATCTAATACAAGTAAGATGAGTATTTATCTCATAACAAATCATCAACAAATTATTTTTCTATAATTATAATTATTGTAAATTACCTTTTAAGAAGAATTGTTTATAGACTTGTTTAGTTACACCTGTACACTGAGCGGAATACTTTTCTAATTAACGTTTCCAAAACAAAACTGCATCCACTTTTACGAAAATAAAATATTGTTTAACTTAAACCTTTCTCAATTTATTTATTAAACACTCTTTCGAATTATGAAGAGTTCAGTTCATAATTGACCCAAGTCCCCTATTAAAGAACCTCTTATGAAAATTAAACTGATTCTCATATTAATATCGCTGACTAGTCTATATAAAAGTCTATGAACTAGTCAATGAACTATACCATTGACTAGTTTATGGACTGGTTTATTTACTACTCTATGGGATGTCAATTGACTACATTACGGACTAGTCTATTGACTACTCTTCGGAATTGTCTATTAACCAGTCGAGTTAATGGACCATGGACTAGTCTATATACAAATCTATGAACTAGTCAATGAACTAGACTATTGATCAGTTTATAGACTAGTCTATTTACTACTTTATGGGATGTCAATTGACTATATTACGGACTAGTCTATTGACTACTCTTTGGACTTGTCTATTAACCAGTCGAGTTAATGGACCATGGACTAATCTATTGCCTACAAATCGGCCTAGTCTATTAACCAGTCTATGGACTAGACTCTTGACTAGAGTATTGTCTTATCTATGGACTAGTCTATAGACGAGAACATTAAATTATATATGGACTAGTCTATTGACTATATGGACTGTCATTTGACTACTTTCTAGACCAGTCTATTGTCTACACTATGGACTAATCCACTCTATAAACAAGTCTATAGAGCAGTCTATAGACAAGTTTATAGACCAGTCTATGGACCATTCTATGGACTAGTATCTAACCTTATCTATGTACTTGACTGTAGAGCAGTCTTTGTACTATCTATAGATCAGTCTATGAACTAGTCTATAATCCAGTTTATGTACTATGCGATAGTCTATAGACCAGTCTTTGTACTAGTCAATAGACCAGTCTATGCACAAGTTTATAGATAAGTCTATGTACTAGATTAGTCCATTGACTGTTCTATAGACTAGTCCATAGACTGGTCTATAGACTAGTCCATAAACTGGTCTATAGACTAATCCATAAACTGGTCTATATACTAGTGCACAAAAGGTCTATAGACTAGTCCACAGACTGGTCTATAGACTAGTGCATAGACTGGTCTATAGACTAGAGCATAATCTGGTCTATAGACTAGTCCATAGCCTGATCTATCAGGCTATAGCCTGATCTACTAGTCTATAGACCAGATTATGCTCTAGTCTATAGACCAGTCTATGCACTAGTCTATAGACCAGTCTGTGGACTAGTCTATAGACCTTTTGTGCACTAGTATATAGACCAGTTTATGGATTAGTCTATAGACCAGTTTATGGACTAGTCTATAGACCAGTCTATGGACTATAGACTAGTCTAGTCTATAGACCAGTCCATAGACTAGTCTTTAGACCAGTCTATGGACTAGGGTATAGACCAGTCTATGGACTAGTCTTTAGACCAGTCTATGGACTAGTGTATAGACCATTTTATGGACTAGTCTATGGACCAGTCTATGCACTAGTCTATAGACCAGTTTATGGTCTATAGACCAGTCTATAAACTAGTCTATAGACCAGTCTATAAACTAGTCTATAGACTAGTCTATGAACTTGTCTATAAACTAGTCTATGAACTAGTCTATAGACTAGTCTATGAACTAGTCTATAGACTAGCCTATGAACCAGTCTATAGACTAGTCTATGAACTAGTCTATAGACTAGTCTATGAACTAGTCTATGAACTAGTCTATAGAGCAGTCTATAGACAGTCTATGGACTAGTCTATGGACTAGTCTATAGACCAGTCTATGGATTAGTCTAAAGAGCAGTCTATGGACAAGCCTATAGACAAGTCTGTTGACTAGTCTATAGACCAGTCTATGGACTAGTCTACAGACCAGTCTATAAATCAGTCAATAGACCAGTCTATGAACTAGTCTATGAACCAGTTTATAGACCAGTATATGGACTTGTCTACTTATAGATAAGTCTATAGGCTTACATATCTATTAAGTAATAAGTCTATGGACAAGAGTACTGACTAGTCTTTGGATTACAATGACTAGTCTATGTATTATTGACTAGTCTATCAAACATTTAGTTTAGGTACTAGTAAATTATTTATGCTACGGACTACTCAATGTACAAAACTATGAAAAAGTCTATAGTCTAGACTAAAGACTATTCTATGGACTAGATTAATGACTAGTCGATTGAGAAATGTATTGCGTATGCGTGCTAAATGTTTTAAAATAGTCTAGGGCTGTTGTATGGACTACATTATTAACAAGTACTTTTATGGATTCCCCGACACACAGTTTAAAAAGGCTTCAGTTTGTGACTTTAAAAGAGCAGTGTCATAAAAGTCACCCTTGACAATAAGAGTATTTAATAGTGTTTTTAATACAAGTTTTATAGCCTACATCACTATTGTGAGAGGGACATTATAGATTCCTGCTGATGTTTGTAACGTTAGAAATATAAGTTGTTCTACAAGTTCTACCTATCGCCTCAGAAATATTTTCGGAATCTATTTAGCTATGTCCGTCCGTTAATGTAAACCTTGTAATCGAACTACTGTTGGCAATTTTTAAGATAATTTGATGAAATTTATCGCATAGATGGGTTCATATTTGACCCATTCTACTACACAGAAATTAGTTTTAAATCATAGAAAAGGTGGAAATTAAGACAAAATTCAATTTAAGATAAACTCATAATTGTAGGCTGTAGTGGGTACGTTCATGACTGACTTTACTTTATTTCTTGTATTAATTGTCGTACAATTGAATTCTTCTGTGTTAATGACAATTTTTCTCCATTGTATTGATTTTTTCTACCTCAAGTTTAGAGAAATTTAGGGGGACAATATAAAATAAATATAAATTGAATTGTTTAGTCTCAGTAAACATATTTTATAGTTAAAGTTAACTAACATTGTATTAAAAAGGCTACACCTATTGATGGGGTTAAATCTAAAAACGTTTCCATTAATGGGGCAAATAAACACAATATTGATAATTTTTTAGTACCCAGACCTTTTAAAATCTAAACCATCGATAATGAATGAAAGTATTGACCAACGACAACTAAGATAATGTTTATAACTTAATATGGAAAGTGGAAAAAGTTGATTCGAAATAAATATAATTATAAATTTAAAAACATTTTATTACTATAAAGTTGTGCAAAAATTTTGTTTTTCAGTGTAATGATTATTTCAACATTAATGTAATATATTTTCATCATTAATGATGAAAATTTTTGATGCACGCTAATGCTCCCGTGGAATTCTGTGAACTCGTGTTGTTTTTGTTGCAATTAAACTGATGCGGTGTTTTTAGTTTTTTTAGTATTTAACTTGAAACCACTATAATTTCTAAGTGCATTACTGAAAATTTTTAACGTGCAAAGATTTCGCATAGATGAGTAGAACTCTTTGAAAAAGCATCATGAAGTTGTACAGTGGGAGAAATGGAACGAGTACTAGAGTTAAAATAGAGAAAATGTCAGACTATTGACTAGACTATACTATAGATTAGACTATAGACTAGACTATAGACTAGACTATAGACTAGACTATAGACTAGACTATAGACTAGACTATAGACTAGACTATAGACTAGACTATAGACTAGACTATAGACTAGACTATAGACTAGACTATAGACTAGACTATAGACTAGACTATAGACTAGACTATAGACTAGACTATAGACTAGACTATAGACTAGACTATAGACTAGACTAGACTAGACTAGACTAGACTAGACTGTAGACTATAGACTAGACTATAGACTAGACTATAGACTAGACTATAGACTAGACTATAGACTAGACTATAGACTAGACTATAGACTAGACTACAGACTAGACTATAGACTAGACTATAGACTAGACTATAGACTAGACTATAGACTAGACTATAGACTAGACTATGAAATAGACTATAGACTAGACTGTAGGCTAGACTATAGACTAGACTATGGAATAGACTATAGACTAGACTGTAGGCTAGACTATAGACTAGACTATAGACTAGACTATAGACTAGACTATAGACTAGACTATAGACTAGACTATAGACTAGACTATAGGCTAGACTATAGACTAGACTATGAAATAGACTATAGACTAGACTGTAGGCTAGACTATAGACTAGACTATGGAATAGACTATAGACTAGACCATAGGCTAGACTATAGACTAGATTATAGACTAAACTATAGACTAGACTATAGACGAGACTATAGACTAGACTATAGACTAGACTATAGACTAGACTATAGACTAGACTATAGACTAGACTATAGACTAGACTATAGACTAGACTATAGACTAGACTATAGACTAGACTATAGACTAGACTATAGACTAGACTATAGACTAGACTATAGACTAGACTATAGACTAGACTATAGACTAGACTATAGACTAGACTATAGACTAGACTATAGACTAGACTATAGACTAGACTATAGACTAGACTATAGACTAGACTATAGACTAGACTATAGACTAGACTATAGACTAGACTATAGACTAGACCATAGGCTAGACTATAGACTAGACTATAGACTAGACTATAGACTAGACTATAGACTAGACTATAGACTAGACTATAGACTAGACTATAGACTAAACTATAGACTAGACTATAGACTAGACTATAGACTAGACTATAGACTAGACTATAGACTAGACTATAGACTAGACTATAGACTAGACTATAGACTAGACTATAGACTAGACTATAGACTAGACTATAGACTAGACTATAGACTAGACTATAGAGACTATAGACTAGACTATAGACTAGACTATAGACTAGACTATAGACTAGACTATAGACTATACTATAGACTAGACTATAGACTAGACTATAGACTAGACTATAGACTAGACTATAGACTAGACTATATTATAGACTATACTATAGACTAGACTATAGACTAGACTATAGACTAGACTATAGACTAGACTATAGACTAGACTATAGACTAGACTATAGATTAGACTATAGACTAGACTATAGACTAGACTATAGACTAGACTATAGACTAGACTATAGACTAGACTATAGACTAGACTATAGACTAGACTATAGACTAGACTATAGACTAGACTATAGACTAGACTATAGACTAGACTATAGACTAGACTATAGACTAGACTATAGACTAGACTATAGACTAGACTATAGACTAGACTGTAGACTAGACTATAGACTAGACTATAGACTAGACTATAGACTAGACTATAGACTAGACTATAGACTAGACTATAGACTAGACTATAGACTAGACTATAGACTAGACTATAGACTAGACTATAGACTAGACTATAGACTAGACTATAGACTAGACTATAGACTAGACTATAGACTAGACTATAGACTAGACTATAGACTAGACTATAGACTAAACTATAGACTAGACTATAGACTAGACTATAGACTAGACTATAGACTAGACTATAGACTAGACTATAGACTAGACTATAGACAAGACTATAGACTAGACTATAGACTAGACTACAGACTATAGACTATAGAGACTAGACTATAGACTAAGACTATAGACTAGACTATAGACTAGACTATAGACTAGACTATAGACTAGACTATAGACTAGACTATAGACTAGACTATAGACTAGACTATAGACTAGACTATAGACTAGACTATAGACTAGACTATAGACTAGACTATAGACTAGACTATGGACTAGACTGATAGACTATAGACTAGACTATAGACTAGACTATAGACTAGACTATAGACTAGACGATAGACTAGACTGTAGACTAGACTATAGACTAGACTATAGACTAGACTATAGACTAGACTATAGACTAGACTATAGACCTAGATTATAACCTAATTATAAACTAGATTATAAACTAGATTATAAACTAGACTATAAACAAGATAAAGACTGCACTATACTTAAGATTCGACTAGACTAATTTGTAATTACAATTTGACATGTAAAATATTCAATGTTTCTTACAAATACTTAACCTTGAAAAAAACACCAGAATGTTTTATTAGACATGGGGTTCGCGACCCTTAGAATATTCCTATAGACCCCAATAATTTACCATACAGACTTAAAGTTCAATACAGCGTAGTATGGATGATGTATAGTAGTGTATAACTAATGCAGGATATCAAAAAATTGTATTATTTTTATAAAAAAAAAAATATTTACATATTGAGATAAAAGACAAGTATATACAATTTAAATAATTTATTTTAATCATTTCAACCAGTTTCAGTTATTACTTGTTTATTTCAAAACGCTTGACATTTTTCAAATAAAAAAATAAAACAAAAATTAAAGCATTAAAAAAATATTCCACAAATACAAAAGTATATTGCAATCATTACGCCAAATAGAATATTCTAAACTTAAATTGATAAATAAAATACAAAATAGACTTACCGTTTATAAAAATATTAAAAATATCCAGCAAATATTGAACTAGAAATCTTGAAACACTTGTTTGAAACAACAACACTTTATCAGTATTAGTATTTTTGTGGAGCAATAGTCTTGGTAGGATGTATTATTATTTTGTTCCTGTTTTTTAACGATTAATATTAAATTTTGTTTATTTATTATTTGTTTCTTTTTTTGCAAAAATTTAATTTTGAGTTTTGTTTTCACTTAAAATATATATTTCTTGAATTCAGCTAAGTCACACTAAGCAGACGACTGTTAATTTAATGATTATTTAAATTTAATAGTTTAAAATGCATGAAATGCAAATTAATGTTTAAAACATTATTATTTTATAATTTTGCTTTAATTAAAAGATTTAAACGTTTCTTGGAATTTTTATTTTACATAAAATACGTTAAATTTAAAGTCCGTCAAAAAAATCCCGCTTAAACTTTAATTAGCGTCTAGTTAGTCCAGCAGCAAGTGCACGATTGTTTTAATTGATATGAATCAACTCCCGTTAGAGATAAGATTGTTGTAAAATATTCTTAAGTAAAAGTCAATATTGTTTGTATTTTTGTTGTATTTACTCGCTCGGTTGCATCCAGCAGATAAAACTAAATCCAGTGATAATTATAATACACGAACAAAAAACCTTCTGATATTCGTGTAAAAATATTCTAACATTTGTAAAGATTTACATAAATTTGTTTTAATGTTATTTACAGTGCTTGAAAAGAAATGTTATGTACATACATAGTTTGTTTATAAAGTTTTGTTCCAAATAATTGATTAAAGCTTTCATGCATACTTACCTGATGTTCAATATGTTGTTGATATTTTCTAAAGCATAACATTAGGCGCACAAATAAAAACTAATGAAGATCAATGGTAGATCACTGTGGTGCTGATTGCCAAAAAAGTGTTGATAGCCCAATGAAATTAAAATTTCTCAAGATTTTATTAAAAACCCATACCCAAATTAAGACCACTCACTTTCTAACTGTAAAATCCTGAGGATATAGGACATTGGAGTGAGTCCATATCTTAACCTGCTAAAGACTTTTCAAGTGAATATCCTCCTTATGTAGGTTGAAAGTAGAATGTGTTCCTAGAAATATATACATAAATGTCCCGATCTTCAACGGGAATATTGTGCGCTCCTTTACATAGAAAATGTTGGTAGAAATATCTAATATAGTGATCTACGAAAGGAGTCATTATTTGTATATCGTTACGTTAGGTTGTTGTTGATGTTGTAATAGTTCGATTGTGACCGATAGTTCTTTCCTGGAGAAAAAACTTTCGGTTGGTACAGCTGTCGCTGGGTTGACAATCTTTGGCCGAGTATAACTCGATTAGTTCCAGAGCGGAGATCGAATTGTCAATTATGTTAAGTGAGACAGGTTGCTTATCGCAGCAGGCACCATTTTAGATGCAATCATGGATAATCGTCCTCAAACCAGTTGTAACATCTGATAAAGATATTATGTCGATCCAAGTCTATGATAGATAATTGCGACAAGACGTGCAGGACAGTGATATAGAAGGTGATTTATGACTCTTCTTTTTCTTCATCATGACAACTTCTAAAATTTAAGTCATAATTTTCTAGTTATCGTGTAAGATTTTTCCATCTTGTCTGAAGTTCATTCTGAAGCCTGAACTTTCCGAGCCGTCTGTATATACAGAAAGTATCAGAGGAGAGAGACTTTCTTCCGGAATAGTGTCATACGAAAGATCGTAATCATACTCTCTGTGGAAAGAGGTTTCAAGTGTTCAAAGGCCTATATATGACCGCTTCAAAAGCTTTCAAAACCCTCATTTCAAACCTATAGCCCTTTTGCAGCAATATATTAATCGGCCTAAACATGATATTCAATCTCCATGGCAGTCTATTGTCAAGGAGTGTGAAGCTATATATTACGTATTTTCGTGATAATAATACTAGCTCAGTTTCTCTTGGATTTATACCTAGTCCACTGTCGGATACTCCATCGACATAGTATCTCAAGAGCTTCCTCGACTAGTGTCATACGAAAGATCGTAATCATACTCTCTGTGGAAAGAGGTTTTAAGTGTTCAAAGGCCTGTAGGACCATGTTGTCCTTAACGATACTGTTATAAGGAGGGCCATCCGTTCCTCATTTGTTCAGTCATGTTCACCAAACGGTTACTACATAGAAAAGGATTGGTCATATGACCGCTTCAAAAGCTTTCAAAATCCCCATCTCAAACCTATTGCCCTTTTGTAGCAATACATTAATCGGCCTAAATATGATATTCGATCTCCATGGCAGTCTATTGTCATGGAAGTGTGAAGCTATATATTATGTATTTTCGTGATAATAATACTAGCTTAGTTTTGATTGGGTTTATACCTAGTCCACTGTCGGATACTCTATCGACTTAGTATCTCAATAGCGTCCTCGAGTCTATATGAAATCGTGCTCAGATGAAACCAGATGGTTTTATTTTTCAGAAAGTCAAGTTTTTAAAGTAGACAGTTTTTAACAAGATGCCATAGAAGTGGAGAGAATACACCCCTTGTGGTGTGCCTCTATTGACCGCTTTTGAAATCGTTGCTGTACCCATATTCGAACATATGATTCTATACTCGAGTAAGTTTTTGATAACTTCTATTGTAGATCGGTTTAATTCAAGTTCCCGTAAGTCACATTGTTGAAAGCTTCTTATATGTCCAGAAAGGCCACCAACATGTGTTCTCCGAATTTTAATGATTTCTCTATGTAGTCAACTAGAGAATGTAAAGCCCTTTAAACAGATATTCCCTTTATATATCCATGTTGAGAAGTTCATGGAAGTTTTTGGTCCTTTGACATAGTGACGTGGCTGATTTGTCTAAAGTCTTTAGTTTTTAGTTTTTGTATGTGAATAAATGACTAATATTTTGATCTCTTGCAAATAGAATGGCAATATATCTCCATATTTTTTGATGATTTGGGTATAAAAACCTATGATAAAAAAATAATCTTATAAATATTACAACATATTTTAAATAAAATTACCACAAACCACATCAAGACAGTAAAATAAGAAACAAAATAAAATCATAGAAAATAACAACTTGGAGTTCATCTTAAGTACATATTTTTCCATTCTTAAAGTATTAATACTTTATTGTGTACTTCTTTATTTTTTTTTTTTTTTTTCAAAACAAATCTGTTACATTAAACATGTTTAAAGATTTGTCTGGCTGACTTGCCAACTGTCAAAGGAATTAAAAAGAAATATATAATAATTCATTTTATAAAAAAAATCATTGCAGATTTCTTAAATTTTTGGTCAATTACCAGGAAAGTTCAAGAAAAAATGTAAAACAAATTGAAACCACAAAACAAGATGTTTATTTTATACTTTTACTTAAAAGCTTTAAAAATGTTGGTTTTAAAAGTTTTTTAAGCAGTATTTAATAAGCAAAGATTAGTATGCTATAGAATTTTTCCTTTAAGAAAAATTATTAAATAGCTTGAGCTTATGTATTTGATTTAAAACATATGATTTTTCACATACATTCTTGACTATTTATCATATATAAGTCTAAAAAAATTTCTTCTCTATGTGTATTTTCTTTGACTTCCTTATTGTTGTTTTGGTTTTTTTCTTGCAAATTCTTTATGTTTAAGCAATTTATTTGTCATGGTTAAGGTCACGGTTTCTTGTGTCATAAATCAAAGAATGGTTGTCTGTCACAGTGTCTGTTTTTGATTGGCATCGACGCCTGGTTTTTCTTAAAAGAAAATCGTTTTTCTTTATTTAAGCGGGGGTTTTGTAGTTGTTGAATTATCAAAATATTTTGATAATATTTTGTCATTTATCTTTTGAAAATTACAAACATACATACATAAATATGTATGTAAACGAAAATCCTAAATTCTATAGACTAGAAAACAGTCTTGACTATAGCCTCGTATATAGTCTTAACCATAGTCCCGTCTGTAGTCGTATCTATAGTCTCGTCAATAGCCTCGTCTATAATCTTGACTATAGTCTTGTCTATAGTCTCGTCAATAGCCTCGTCTATAATCTTGACTATAGTCTTGTCTATAGTCTTGACTATAGTCTCGCCTATAGTCTTGACTATAGTCTCGCCTATAGTCTATTATAGTCTTGACTATAGTCTCGCCTATAGTCTTGACTATAGTCTCGCCTATAGTCTTGACTATAGTCTCGCCTATAGTCTTGACTATAGTCTCGCCTATAGTCTTGATTATAGTCTCGCCTATAGTCTTGACTATAGTCTCGTCTATAGTCTTGACTATAGTCTCGTCTATAGTCTTGACTATAGTCTCGTCTATAGTTTTGACTATGGTGTTGACTATCATCTTGGTCTTGTATATAGCCTTGGCAATAGTCTGTCTAGAGTCTTGAATATAGTCTTGGCTATAGTGTTGGCTATACTCTCATCTATAGTCTCGTATGTAGTCTTGGCTAAAGTCTCTCCTATAGTCTAGGTATAAGTTTTGTCTATAGTCTGGGCTACAGTTTTCACTATAGTCTCATATATAGTTTTGACTATAGTCTCGACTGTAGTATTGACTACAATCTCGTCTATAGTCTCGTCTATAGTCATGACTATAGTCTCGTCTATAGTCATGACTATAGTCTCGTCTATAGTCATGACTATAGTCTCGTCTTTAGCCTTGACTATAGTCTCGTCTATATATAATCTAAACTATAGTCTCATCTATAATCTAGACTATAGTCTTGACTATAGACTAGTCTATATTCTTGACTATAGTCTCTTTCATAGCTTTAACTATACTCTCGTCTATAGTCTTGACGATAGTCTCATTTGTAGTCTATAGTCTAGACTATAATCTCGTCCATAGTCTCGCCTATAATCTTGACTATAGTCTCGCCTGTAGTCTATAGTCTCGTCCATAGTGTTGACTATAATCTTGACTATAGTCTTGACTATAATCTAGATTATAGTCTGGACTATAGTCATGTCTATAGTCTAGACCATCGTCTAGTCTATAGTCTAGAATATATTCTTGACTATAGTAGTATTGACTATAGTTTCCTCTATAACCTTGACTATAGTCTCGTCTAAAGTATTGGCTATAGTCTTGGCTATAGTCTCGTATATAGCATTGGCAATAGTCTCGTCTATAATCTAGGTAATAGTTTTGTCTATAGTCTTGACTATATTCTTGACTATAGTCTCACCTATAGACACGTCTATAGTCTAGACCATAATCTTTAATATAGTCTCATCTATAATCTAGACTACAGTCTTGACTATAGACTCGTCTATAGTCTTGACTATAGTCTCTTTCATAGTCTTAACGATACTCTCGTCTATAATCTTGACGATTTGACATTTGCATAGTCGTGACTATAATCTGGTCTATATAGTCTCGTCTATAGTCTATAGTCTAGACTAAAGTCTCGTCTATAGTCTATAGTCTTGACTATAATCTCGTCTATAGTCTAGACTATAGTCTCGTCTTTAGTCTATAGTCTAAACTATAGTTTCGTCTATAGTCTATG